TAAACTTGTCGATCTTGATCATTTGTGGAGGCATCACTAAAATCTTGATTGAATCGAGGCAAGTGCTCTCGATCACCAAAGGATGACCAATTCCAGTCACCCTCCACCTAGAATCGAACACTAGTCGCCAATTGATCACCAATTACAGTCGCCAGTCACCAATCGATCACCAATTTCAATTGCCAGACACCAATCAATCACTAATTTCAGTTGCGAGACTCCAATCGATCACTAAGTTCAATTCTAGAAACCAATTGATCGAGCAATCCCAATTGATCGCCAATTTCAGATGATGCTTACCCAATCAATCGCCAATTTCAGAACAATCCAGAGACCAATCAATCGAACAATCCCAATCGATCGCCAATTTCATAAGCCGCTCCACCTTGAATCCCGTTACCTTGAATCGGTCTTCAAGATTGACGCAATTGATTGCCAAGATTGCAATCGAAAGGAGCAATTTCAAAAAAACAGATCGTCTTGATCAATCGTAGAAGCAAGAATTGAAATATTCATAACCAACAGAAGCGTATCTTTGATCACCACGCTCTGATACTAATTTGTTAAGAAATTACTAGAGACCTTTTTTAGAGAATTTGGATGCGTGAGGCCAAGAATTTTATTAGATGAGAAAAATGAAGTGTTTACAACATGATTAGCATGTTGCCCCCACTTATTTATAGGCTAAACAAAAAGAAAAATAACAGACTAACTAAACTAAGTCTACTAGAACTAAAGTCACACCACTCGACAAGCTTTAGTGTTTTTGATTTTTATGTTCCCTGTTAGTGTTGGCCAGTTTCTTATGAATGGATTATGCTTTAAGATATGCTATTTTGCTTTATCGTTGGTTTTATGCCATTTATGGTGGATGAAGTTCTTGAAATGCTTTGGTTGTGGGTTGTGTTTCCAATGTGCAACTCTGCATATTTTTAATCTTGTGGGGTTAGCTCGACTGGCATTACGGCTTGTACCTTTGAGGATTTTCTTTAGAGGTCACCGTTTGAGTTCTGCAAGGCCATTGGAAATTTTATTGGCTGTTCTTCAAGGACTTTAGGATTATTTGAGTTGTGCTCAAGCTGTCCGACCCCCATAGTTAACAAAAAAAACTGTACACTTTTTAGCAGCATCTCCTACAGATTCTTTAAAATTGAAAAAGTGGACATTTTTTTAGTTTTTAATTCATTTTTTTCCTTTTGGATATTTCAGAACTTAAACTAAAATGAAGAAAGTAGGGTGTAAGAATATAAATTTTTTCAAAATTGTAGAATTTTTCATAATTAAATTCTAAGAGAGAGAAATGGCTCCTCCCTGTTGCCTCGCCTCACAGATTAAGATTTAATTTTCTACGAGATTTTTAGCCAAATGTGATCTCTCATCAAGCTGGTAAAATTTGGTGCTTCCTTTATTATCTATTCAGCTTACAGTGGTCAGATTGTAGATCTATGATTTATGTTTAGATGCTTTGATTTATTCTCTTTGTTTGTTTAAAAATTTAAACTCAATACCACTATATGACATTACATATATTCTTAAATGTTGATTGTTTTTCACTTTCACATATTTTTTCATGGTTGGTGTAATTTTCACCTACAATGTGTAACATGAAGACGTATAATTTCTTTTACTATTGTTGGAACAGTAAAATCTAAATGGTTTTGGGATCTTTGAGGTCGACACTCCTCGTGGTGAGTTATTTAATATTTTTTTTGTTTTTATGGAACACAGAATCATCTTGCATATAAAAGCTAAAAACATTACAAAATTCATTAGAAAGTAAAAAACTAGACAAAAAATTTAATACTTTGACTACTAAAAGAATACCTTTGCTGTGAATATCAATAAAGCTTATGATCTAACAATTTCGAATGCTCGCTTTCATTTATTCAAATTTCACATTCCCGCCGCATTTGCACGGGTACATAACTAGTACAATATAATATGTAGATATGTGTGTGTGTGTGCGTGTGTGTTTGTGTGTAAGCGATCGTAGCTTGCTGCTGAAAAACATAATAGGCTAGTGCAGCTTGCTTCGCTCTTCAAGCTCCGCCCCCCTTGCTATACCTCAAGTAGATTTTAGTTTTAGCATAATCTTAATTAGCTTCTTTCACTCCTTAAGTTGGACATAGATATTGATATGGGTAAAATCTTGCACCATCTGGCAGCCCATTCGAGCATCAACTTGCCTGTCAGCAGCACCCATCAGGTTTAAGGCTCAAATTTAGAGTCATCTTTAACAACTCTGATTAGAGTCTAATAATGGTATCAAGTCATCTAACCATGTCATAACTCAAGGGAAAGGTCCTAACGTCCTAGGAGGCTTATCCTATGGTTTAGAGATTGACGCTTATCTCAGATGAGCCCTAGAGACCTTAAAAAATGGTTCCTGCATCAATTAGAACCTACTCATAAATACAGTAATTTCTAAAAATCTCAAGGTTAGTGTTACCTAAAAAATCTATGTGAAAATGGCATTCACTATTCTGGAATATTGAATTGTAATGGTAACATGCCTCAAAATTCCAAGTACATATAATCAAGGAGAACACATTTACCGCCATATTGCTATAAGATAAAATCTGCTTCATACAAATTTTATGATGAGTGAGAAGATAACGCATAAAATAGATTAAATTGGTATAAACAGCCACAAAAGTTTAGTGAACATAGGAAGAAATGAAAGAAGTAAAATCACATACCTATTGGACTAATTGTTGCACCTCTTTCAGATGAAACCCATAATGCTGGGCCTTGCACCTCCGGTTGATCATCCTATTAGTTACAAGGAGTTTGAGTGATTGACATGTGCAACTCTTAAAATATAAATACAGACAATAAACAAAGCCCACTCGCTACATTTGGAAAGTTTGCCACCTAGCTTCCATAGAAGAAATTTAGTGTTGTAGATAATTTTACATTTAAAAAAATTTACATTTTATTGGTAATATACAAGGCCCGCCCGTTACATGAAATGAAATTTAAATCATCTAGTCTTGTTTCAAAGAATACATGCCATATGCAAGGTTGCCGATAAACCAATAGGGCAAATTTAGAGTGGTGAGAAGCAAATACACGACAAAAATATTTGTTAGCAATAGAAGACAAATATCAAAGAGAGCAAAACCAAGATTACATGTTGAATAATATAAACACAGCAGTGAATCCTTATCAAATTAACAGCTTCGTTATTTATTCATCTTTATACACCAAAACTTTAACTATTTAAAGTAAAATTAACTAAATAGTAATAATGATAATAATTATAATAATAACAAAAGTAGAAATAACAAGAATAACAATAATAATAACAACAAAAAGAACAGCAGTAAGAGCAATAGGGTTGGGTTCCATTGACGATGAAAGTTATGATGAGAAGGGTAAGAGAGGATTTCCACCCTTGGATCAATCCTAATTGAATATCAACCCTAATGAGATGCACCGGATCAATTCCTGTATCAAGCGCAACTCATGGGGTGGGGTGTGATTAAAAGTGATCAAGTGTCCAGTTCCTTTCTTACGCTTCTCACATTAACTCCTATTCTCACATGATTCTTTGTCAAGAGCAATAACATTAACTATGAACAAACAAAAATCCCATGATTATACAAACGATTTAATTGTATTGGAACATCTTGCATTCCAAGGTTTCATTTTTTTCTAGAAAACTCATTTGCATTTAAGATGTGAAGATATGTATATGGGATAGGATGTTGGTTATTGAGTTCTATATCAACATAAGCGAGTATAACTTCATGTTTCCTTCTTGTTTTCATTTTGGCTAGTTTTACTTCTGTTTATTCTTTTAAATCTTAGAACCATCTAAGAACCTATTGCAACTCCTTTTGTACTTCATCATTCTTCCACCAAGTCCTTTACTTTCTCCAACCAACTCCTTTGCTAACCTATAGTTCTACATCATAATCTCTTCCCACATCCTATTAGCTTCCCTAGTGATATCTCAATGCCCCTTATTAACCATCTGCTCATTAAAAATACTTAAATTACATTTGTGTTTTACATTCAACCACCTTGTGGGTTCATCATGCCTAAGCCAACAAGCATTGTGCTAATGTGGATGTCCGCCACTAAAGTCCTATGATGCTTCAAACCCACACTAATGAAGATGTGTATGGACCAAGTTTATCCAAGAGTTCTTAGCTACCAAAGGTTAGGAAGCCATGTTTCCTACAAAAAGCATTTACAAGCAATAAAGCATAAGCTAGTGTAAAACTTACAAATTCTTCTCCAATTTAATTCTTAAACCATACCTAAAACCTCCATGAATTATTTCAAAGGCTCAAATTCATCCTCCTACATGACCATTAAGATCTCCCATAACAAGCTTAATACTAACAGGTATGCCTCAAAAAACTAGAGGAAATAAATTGAAACAGTCAAGAAATTTCATCCAAACTTATACAAACGGGGAGCAACCAAAGGAGAAAACCAAAAACAATCTATTGAACCTGCTTTCTTGGTCTTTCCCTATGAAATGAACTCAAATTAATGACTATATTGCAACCGATATTGAATTTATCATCACAATCTATATGGAGTATTACAGATGAGGACCAAGCTGAGTTGATGTAAGTGAGCTATAACCTAATTTATATGTGGTCATAATTTTTTAATGTTTATATTTATACAAGGGCATACGGCAAATACTCATGCACACTCCTCAACCTTTGGTGAGGATTGAACTCTTGACCTCCTGAGAGGCTGGCATCTACCGGTAACGCTGGGCCAATGAGCCTTTTGTTAAGGGGTTCATAATTGTGCTCAAGGTTGTAAAACATCTTTTACTACTAAAGACTTATACAGTGTGAAGCCATGGCAGTCTAATATGTTGCTTCTGTAGATATTTCTAGAATAACCAACATTTCATATTAAGAACTACATAATTCCTAGAGAAACTATTTTATCTCGTCCATTTAGAATAAAACCTTTAAAAGGGTTGAGAAATAATGGCTTGATAACGTATCGTCAGAGAAGCAAACTTGACTGCCGATTGCCTTCATATCAGCTTCCACATACAAAAGTAAGGAGAATGAACTATCCTCTTGAGTCTCTAAGCAATCACAGCCTCTTACTAAGGTTTCTATAGTTTGTAAGGTTTCTGTAATCCTTCTAACATTAACAAGGACAAGGCAAAATACAAATCATCTTAAATCTTTAACGAAATAACCACACTTTCAATTACCCAAATGCTTGATATAAGACTTACAGTACTCCTTCTCTCCAAAAAAAAAAAGAAAATGGAAATAAAGATATACAGGTTGACTTTTTTGATCAAACCATCTAACTTCCAACTTCAAGTCTGCCAATAATTCTTCAAACATTTAAGAAAAATTATGATTTTTGCCTCAAATTTTATGAAAACCCAGATATAGGATACTATTGGTGCTCAATTAGAAACAAGATCTATATCAATTTGAACAGAACTCGGGATTGCATGATAAAAGTCTAAAGGTAAAAATAAAGCAAAACCAATCTATGCCATATTTCATACCCTCTTAACATCAATTTTACCAAGCTTAGCTACAATGCAGTCCTACACACGTACCTCCAGTGAAAATGTAGAAAGAGCAGCAATTGCTTCTTCGACAGGAACAGCCATGGAAATCTACCCCTACTGAGCAAATACCAATCTGTTAAAAGTTGAAAATTAAATAACCCCGGATCGTTACTGAACGGCACACCGTTGTCGCATTATAATTTGACTGTTAAACTTCAGGAATTCAAAATAGTTCAATACTATGTTGAATTAAGCCAGTGAAAATAGATACTTACTCTACCCGAAGAAATACCGTATGAAGTGAATGATATATGATCAAAATGGAGGAGAAGATCGAAGAATTTGTTCAGTCTTGAAATAGAAGTCTAATGACGTCGTGGAACCCACACACAATGATCCAACGAATTGGGATGGTGCATTTTTGGTAGAGTATTTCTTAAGACACTTTCAAGATCGAAAATATAGGGTTTTCCACGGTTCTCTAAAAGGGCAGAGAAATCGGATTATTAAGGTGACCGCTACACGGATTATTAATCTTGATTTTAATATTTAATTTTTTTTTTATCGATATAACATAATGATTTTGAAAAATTGATAATATTTTTATTTTTAATAAAATAAAAATTTAAAAATAACATATAAATTTAAAGATAGTATAAAAATTTAAAAAAAATAAATCGATGTTAGTATCAAATTAAGTATTTAATTTTTTTTGTTTAACAATATAATTTTTTTATAAAGATAATAATAAACATTTTGTTATAACTCAATAATTATCTTAATTATATTTAAAATAGATGTTTATTATGTATTTGATCATGTTTATCTGCAGTTAGTTATACGAATTTAAAAATGAAGCTTTAATAAGTTGTACTTACACAAAATTACTTGTAATCTTGAATTTTAAGTAATATGCATCAATAAATAGTACTTTGTGCATAAAAATGGTTTGTAAGAGTCAAAGATCTTCCAGCCTAGTGGTAAGGCTTGGGCATGGCATAGTCATGAACCCGAGTTCGAGCCCTGGGAGGGAAGTGTTGGCGACATTTAAGTGGGGCCATGTTTTGCCTCCAAAAATTGTCGGGGATTAGTCGGGCTTTGGCCCGGACACCCTTCCAAAAAAAAATTGGTTTGTAAGAGTTCTTGTCAAATGTTTTTTAATATAGATAGATCTTATATTTTATTTTTTTGACTTAAATTTTAACTTGTTTTGAAAATGTAAGTAAGTTACATTGATTACACACATACACTTTGTTAAAGTGAGATCAGCCAAAATAGTTATTTGTTTCGTATAAATTGGTGTGTTAGCCATTTCTTCCATGAGTTATCCAAATATTAGTACATCGTGAAGTCTCACTTCCACAATTTGCAGACCCGGTTAAAAGACAAAAAAAATTGTTGGATTTGACTTAAGCTCATAATTACGACGGCCAGATTCGCAATGATGACGGCCATCATGTCATGAATGATGCATATAGCTTAATTTCCTTCTTCCTAGTCAACTACGTGCACATAATTTGTTAACCACACCCACCTACATATTAGTAGTAACCCATCTTCATAATATATATATTTTATGTAAATACCCACTAATAACGGATCTTCACATTTTTTTAAAGATCCAGACAGACTCTCTTGATTTTTGAGCTTCTTCAACTCAGATTCCAATGTTTTGCATTTATGGTTCTCTGTTGAATTATTTTGGTTAGATTAATGGTTCTGTGTTGTTAAGACCAATTCAATGTGAGTTTGGTCTTTTTTAATAATGACCCTTCCAATAGGTTTCTTCAACGAAAAAATCATGTAATGCAATTCTATATATTTACCACATTTTTGGTGTTTACTGATTGAGAACTTCACTCGAGAGCCACATATAAGAAGGGCTTTTTGTTGGTATTTGGTAAAGCCCAATGGAATAAGTCAGTCTCGTATTTGGTATTTGACAAAGTTCTTGTTAGGAAATGACGAGCCATCTCTTATATTGATCTGTATAACAGACTTTGTTCGTGTTTTCTATTGTGTGTTAAATCAATTAACGTATTTCAGTTGAATTGTTTTAAGTGTTAAAATTAGATGGATATTTCAGCTGAATTTAATTGAAATGAATTGATTCATATTTTAGACTTCTGACGTAAAAACAAACACTGACTGATTCAGATTTCATATTTCAAACATAAAAACAAGTAGTCTGACTGATTCAGATTTCAGACTTCAGCACCACCTCTTAAAAATTAGAAGTGAAATCGGACTTCAGACTTCAGCACCTCTTAAAAACAAACGTCACCCTAAATTTCAACAGTTAACTAAGGGGTACTTTGGTCTTTCAACTATTTTATTTAGTTTTACTTTAAAAATTAATAATATATTGTTATATTTATACTTATGTCTATATACCCTCTCCTCTTACATCCCATGTATGCCTTTTTCTCACCAATCCCTCCCTAGCTCTTTTCTCACTGACGCCATCGTAAGCTCTGTATCCGGCGATGGACAACACTAGTGGCCTCCAAGACATGTGCCTTCATATACTGGAGGCTTTCCATTGCACTATTCCCTCCAAAACTCCATGGAAGATTCTCTTAACATGAAGCTATAAAAGTTTGCAAAATTGCAACTATGAATCTCATGATCAGAGGCCATCTATAGACTCATATCCATTTTGTTCATCTCTTCCCTTTTTCAAGTGTGGTATTTGAATCTTAAAAAAATTTAACAACAATTGCGTTTTGAAAATAGGTTTTGGAAAAGGGCTTTGATTAAAATTTTGAAAAAGATGGGTCAAGGTTTTCATTTTTGGGTTTGATTCAACTTCAAATGGGTTTTGAGATTTTTGGGATTTCTCTTCTGATTTTGATTCAACCTCAAGGATTGGCTTGTGATTCAACTTCAAATGGGTTTTGGGATGTTCCAACACTGATAAGAGGGATGGAGGGGAAGAAGATCAAGATGGTTGTGAGGAATTTTGATTTAGCTTCAAGGAAAAGAAGAATAGACGTTGTTGCTATAGCAGGTGGGGAACAGTAACTTAACTGAAAATTAGTTAAAATGTTAAAAAAACAAAATTACTCTTAACTTAACTAACTTTTTCTAACAGAGTTAGTCCCAGGGACGAAAAGTGAAACGAAGTGGAAACCACATGGACAAAAAATAGTTTTTAACGACCATATTAGACTACAGGGACGAAATCTGTAGTTTACTCTTATGTGTTTTTACCTTTTAATTTTTAATATAAGAACTTTATAAATTAATATTATTTTTATTTCTTTCTCATGGTATTGCTAAATTAATAGTAAATTATATGATTGGTCCCTATGGTTTACATAAAATCACGTTGTGCGTCCCTAAATCAAAATAATTATAGAAAATGTCCCTGTGGTTTACATTTTCACATGTCTTTCATGCTATTACCTGAACACCGTTAAAAACATAGGTTAAATGAGTTAACTCTTAAGGGTATTTTAGTCTTTTTAGTGCTTCTAAATTTTCTTTTAAAAACTTATTTTTGGATTTAAAAACCACAGGGACCAATAATGTAATTTACTTTATCTATTTATATGAACTTGGAACATATATATATATATATATATATACATAGGGAATTTCCAGATTCTGATCCATATACAGATCCATCATCACCAGTATCAGTTAATAGTACACACAGAGATTTCTAGAGGCGATAAAGTAAGCAGTAGCGTTGGTACCCGACAAACTCCTGCAAAACTTTAATAGAAATCAGAATCGTATATTGTAGCTTTATAGGCTTTTGATTTTCATGGCCTAAATTTATAGGCTTTTTGACTCTTATATCTTATCACTTGTATTATTAGTATGTTTAAATTATAAAGTATATCTTTTGTAATCATAGATAGACATATGAAGGTCTATAAATACCTTCATTCTCTTCATTTGTCTCCAAGGAATATCTATGATCCTTGCTTTAAAGCTGTTAAAATCTCTTTTGTAATGCTGTGTATGTTTCAGATTGTTTTTTCTCGAGCTTTGTTTGTAATTTTAAAAGTTTTTCCTTGAGAATAAAATTCTTTTGTTTAAGAATTGAATTTTCTGTAACATCCCCCGTCCCCGTAGTCCGGAACGGGCGGTGTCACTAAAGGGACTTAATTCTAAGACACAAACATTGCAGAACTACTAATAAACTCCAAACATAGATTAATTTCTAAAACATGCTTTACAATCCAAAATATTATATTCTATCAACTATTTATAAGATTAGAATATTATACATCCACCAACGAGTTTACCAACTCCAAAAAGTCAAACGCTCGATCTCAAGTCCCGTCCCTTATCAAAATCACTTGGAACATGTCGTGTCAGAAAACAAGAACACGGCTGAGCACAGGGTTCAGTGAACAGATTGTAATATAAACTTGAAATAATAATACGTAACATCGATAATAAAGCGGAAGACTTAAAAATCAATTAAACTAAATTCATAGAAATCAAGACGTTTCACAGTTCTCATTTCAAAACATCATTTAAACACAATCTGTTAATTCTTGTAGTATTCGTGGGGTGGCCAAACCACACGAACTATCGGGCCGGCGTGCGGGCACACACCCCGAGTCCCCCGTGAATTTAACCACGGTCACATGGTGGGTAATCCTAGGATCGATCCATCCGCCCTGGAGCCAATAAAATCGGCCTAGTCCATAAGGTGTGTTCACGTAAGCCATTATTGGGCCTAACCCTGTGGACCGAGTTCACCTGCAGGACGCCATGACTACAAAGCCGCCATAGAAGGCATCCCAATTAATGTGCCCATTAATTGAGTTGTTCTGAAAACCAAAAAACAAATAAAACATGTGCCACTACCCGGATGACGTTCATAAAAAGTCAACCTTCAAAGTACTTCATAAAACTCGAAACTACTTCAAAATATGAGAATCAATTTAACAAACTTGAAAGATTCAAACTTATAATTCAACGAACTAAAAACAAGTGTTCGCGATAAAGATTTAAGAGTTTACGATAAAGATTCAAGAGTTCATATATATATATATATATATATATAAAAGTACGTAATTTATCGACCACTTTTAAGCAATCAATCACAAAGTGGTGAACCACCGTTACGAAGGGTCAACTACAACAACTAGTTGCCCAAGAGTCAAAGAAAGTGAAATCCGTACCTTAGATGGAATAGAGAAATAAACACGATCAAACCGAATTCACGGTAAAGTTCGACTTGCTCGCGTGCCTTACGAATGCGCAAATCGGTTATTACTTAAACAACGTAAGACCATATCCTAATTATACTAATAAATTACTTAGGTCCTACACGATTATAAACAACTTAAACTTCAAATACGATAGCCGAATATGTATTACGAAATCGACGCAACACTTAGCTTTATATAATTCCGATTCGACTTTAACAGCTTTTGACCCTCATTTTCGGGAGCATTTTTCCCCACTTAGAGATCAATAC